ATTATATATCGATATGTTTTCATTGCCGTCAAAGATTATTTACATTTATATAATACCCTTGATGCAATCCCATCGGGGTTCTTCCCCCATCAAATTGTTTTCTCCTTTTATCTGCCTCGAGAGCTTGTTCAATGTTACCATCCCTTCTATCAATAAGCATTTTTATGGTTCATTGATTCGGATCTCATACGGATGTTTCAGATTTCCTTCAGCAATGATTCATATCTTGTTAGACCATACATTTCAAGTGTTCAGTAATGTTCATCAATGAATTCCGAGTGGTCTCGTATGAATGGTAATTGCAAAATTTCGTTATTACGTTACGTTACCTTATTTTCTCGTTCAAGTTTTCTTATTTTCCACATTAAATAAATGAAGTGGCTCTAATATCCGTTCCTTAAAGCCATGAACTCATCCACTGAGCTGCCGAAAGAGGTTTTCCCTGTTACAGCATACCCATAATTCCTTTATATTTGTTTCTCTTATGTAATTATGTAGTACTTTCAACATTTTTAATAAATAAATATGTTGTTGTTGTTGTCAATGTTGTTAATTTACTTTTATACTTTAGAGCAATACTTAGCATAGTCCAAGTAATCGGTTACGTCAGGACTGTTTGAATCGAGAAACTAAATACATACAAAAATACTATTTTGGTGTATAATGTTTTGTACTATAGTGAATTCAGACTAATAAAATCCGTACTATGCGAGGTATTACTGTATATAAATAAATATTAATTTCATGTCATTACTTTGCTTTTAATGTGCTTTATTACTGTAATTATTATGTTTTGCCTGTTGATAGAGTTCCCATTGATTTTATTGTAATTTATACGATTGCTTTCATAAGATATATTTTCTCTAGGTCGTAACTTATATTGATTTATAATTCGTTTGTTCTATTCCTATACCATATACCGATATTTATAGTCTCTATAAAGACTTTAGGACTTAATGCCATTGACATAAATTGATATATTATAGTACCGGCGCCAACGTCCCTAACATTATGTTTAATTTACTTTACTCAATACTTACTTCTCCATTTGTTTTAATACATAAAGCTGAATAAATTCTACGCACGATTCGGTAAGTTAATTGTCAAGTAGCACGTACATCTCAATAGTCCAATAACAAAATCAACATCGCAATATAAATTAAGTATAATAATTGCAATCAAAATTAAAAAATAAAAAGTGACCAAAGCCCAAATAGAAGTTATTTAAATTAATTATTTATGATTGTTGCAATAAATTGTTGTTGTTAAATTATATTAAAGTGAACATCCAACATATGTTTCTAATATTCAAATAATTATACTCTTTAAATGTGTTTTATGCAAACTGAAGACATGTGCATACGCATGCAACATTTCTCACCATATGTTGTATAATTTATCTAAATTTAAATGTATATATATGTAATTATAAGTAAATTTCTAGAAAGAGAAATTGAATAAAACTATTTTGTTGTTTGATTTATTAAAATATTCTTAATATTTTTCCTACTAGTATAATTATGATTCAATTATTACTAAACTATTATAGCCCGGATTCAATGTAGACAAATTTAGGACAACATACATTTTTATTGAGAAAACTTGTGTTTTTGGATATTTATTTGTTTAATATATATAACTATATAACATACAATGACAAAATGCTAAAATTTAGTTGAAGCTACAGTTTAACCGTATGGCGTATTATGTATATCAGTGTTTCTCAAACTTTTGCACTTAAAAAAATTAAAACATCCCCCGAACATGAAGAAAAATACAACAGTTCCGTTTGTTATCAATTTTTCTTCAACTCTTCCCCCTTGTTGACCCAGACTTTGAGAATCACTGATGTATATGTTGCAAAGGGGGCATAAGAATTTTAGAAAGATTTTGGTGAGGTATAGCATAAAAAAAGGTTGTGAATCACTGCTCTAAATATATTGTAAATAATTTAATAAGAAAAAATAAATACTTTAACAACATTTAATTATGCAATCTTTTTACCAAATAATGTATAGATTCGAATAACAAAGTGACATATGTCAATACTTCAAATTAAAAAAAACAAATCTAATTAGATAAATTTGACAAGGAAAACAATAATGGAAAATGTTTCACCGGAAAATGAAAGAATTCCTCGTTTCAAATTGAAACATACCAGTTTTGTCAAAGAAGTCCATTCGACATGAAGAATTCCAATCAATCGATCAACAGGAAGCGCCGAATGCAACAAAACAAAACAAAAAACATATAATAAATAGCCGTTGCTGCACAAAGGGGGGGCAGCAGTAAAATTGAAATTAAGTACGTCCCTTTGTGCAGCCGGAAACGCGCGTGGTTATAGGGTGTGCAATTTGATAATTCCAACCGACGATTTAATTCTATTATACGAAAATCCCTAACAATTAATATAAATCATAAAATTACCTAAAGCGCACACGCCCTTTACACATACGCACACACACGCATGCATACTGCATGGGATATATACAATATACACGCGTTAATTAAAATGCACAAAATCATTTCCGCGAGCTCCGCAAATTCGCGATTGCATATCCGGGCGTCGTCCAATTAAAACTTATTGCTAAAAATTAATTCGTAACAAAGCGCGATTTCATTAAAAGTTAATTAATTTGCTCCAGTAGTTTTGCGCTCTGCTTAGAACACGAGAAGACATTCCAATTTATTTTTTACTTCGTCCTTTCGATTTTGCGACAATTTTAATTATGAATCGAGTATAAAAAAAATTGCTCATTTTCATTATTTAAAATCTCTATTTACAAATATAAGAAATGAAAATAGTTTTACGTTGAAAATTGTTTTGATAAATTTGTAATTAAGTGACAAGTCTGTTAGTATATTATTATGAAAAGATGATTTATTGTCAAAACTGATACCCATGTCCTTGATGCGACAACGAGGGTGAACTTAGGAGATTAATAAATAATCTTGCTGACGTGGAATTTACTTACATGTATGTATCATATTCTAGAATTTATTAATATGTAAAGAAAGTATATAGTAACAAATATAATTAAAATTTAAAAATTGACAAATAACTGAAGAAAAACGTTAATAAAAAAATATAATTATAATAAAGTAACAATTACCAAAATAAGGTGAAAATAATTTGTTTATAATTTTAATGTAATGTATGAAGGAAAGTGTAAAAATTCAAACAAAAAATAAACTTACAAGAGAAACAGGTATAAAAACATTACCTTCAATTTGCTAGGTGTACATACAAACTTTGAGTTTATTTCCCGCATAGACGTAACTGGTTTATGCAAGTAAATACATTTAATCTTATAATGAATGATGTTTCTGTTTACATTATCATTGCTTGTTCGCTGCACAGACTCTATTATTGCATGTTTAGGACTAATTTGCGCTGTTTCATAATAATCTACCTTCTATCTATCTCCTAAACTCGATGATAATGATGATGATTGAAGAGTAAAGAAGGGTAAAGAAACGTTAAAATGAGAGAGAGTTATTAATTTCGTAAGGAAGCACGTTATCTTACAAATATTTAATTAATTTCGCGCAAGTTTTAATTAAAACTATTTAAATGAAGCGAAACTCGTAATTATTTTTAATTTACTTTAATTATTTTTGGAGAAAATGACCTGTGAAAATTAGCGGTTTTTTTATTTCTATTTTTTTCTCTCATATTTCTTTACTTGATGAGTGCGTGCATGTGTCTGTGTGAATTTTGAAAGGGAGAGGAAATGTGGGTTTTTGGTTCGAATTTCCCCACATGTGGAAATAAAGCGTGGAGCGTTGAGATTAGAAAGTAGCCTCGGCTCAATTAAGGATCTTGGTCGCAGCGCGTGTCTGTGTACGTATGTGGTGTATATATATACATGTTACTGTTTGTGTATATGTGAGTGCTCTAAGCCATTTCTTTTTGGTTTTGCAGGTTAATTGACGGTATGCTCGGCCGAGCGAAATGCTGCATAACTTTACACTTTATTACATCTAGCATTTACTCCAAAAAAAAAAGGAGACCGGAATGAACCCATCAAGGTGCTAGTTTTACAGCACCTGGCTTTGGTAAGGGCTTGATGTTGTGGGTATGCCGACCGGTTGCAATAAGGGATTAGCGGTAAACCCACCAAGCAAGGGTTGCGCGGCAATACTTGTTTGCTTCTCTCTTCTTATGACCGCCAGTTTTATTTTAAGCAATTTACTTTCTTTATTATCGGGATTTCCTACTTACCTACTAAGAGCGAGTGTTCACGGAACACCGTGCGCCCCCAGGGGAGAGGGAAGCAGAGCGCCTTTCTAAAGCGGCCATAATCTCGTTAATCCTTGTTTCGCGTGCGACGCGTCTCGTATATCCAGCAAAAAGAGAGATCGAGAGAGATTAAGAGAAAGATGAAAAGAGAGAGAGAGAGTGAGACCATTTGTTTTGCAAATTACGTTTTCAGTAATTTTTAGTAGGTCATTGTGTTAAAACGCTTCGATTCACCATAATTGCCATATTCAAGTTACGAACTCGTTACTTGACTCAATAATATCATATTCCAAGGACGGAGATGGACGACAACGCCGTAACCAGGACGACGGCGTCGCGACGTCTACGGCGACATTCCATTCGCCTTGTTTGCGCGGCCTGTGTCACCCCGCTGTCAACAGGTGTGCCTTTATTAAAACAGGAATATTGAACTCGCAGCTCAAATTGAAATTCTCTTCCTCCCTTTCTATATATTTTTTTTGCTCTCCTATTTTCGCCTGTTCCTCCCACTGAAATGAAATGGGAAGCGTCGCCGCCGTCGATGCCACCCCTTCAGCCGCCGGCACAACATCACACACTACCCCGCATCCCACCCCAAGTCTCTTTCGGTATTTATTATGGGTTTTATCTCTTTTATTCACAACTAAGCTACATATTATTTACATATAAAATAAATAAATATATAAATTATAATACATAATAATAAGAATAATGGAAGTATCTTCACCGTAGTCGTGTCCATCTCTTCGTACGGAGGTCATTAAGTGCACCCACAACCCCCTTAACTCGTTCGCTTATATAACGAAATGCAAGCTATTCTCGATTATGGCGGCTAAAGGTTATATCACTTAAGAATGAGTAAAGCGAAATGTTTGCCTTTGTTATTGGTTGCTATCGTCGTTAATTTCGTTCGTTAAATTCTTCTGTTAAATTATCGATAAGAAATTCGTTTGCTTGAGTATTTACTCTCTAAGTTATTTACACATGTAGTTGTGATCCCTACTAGCTACTAGACTAGTTGTAGTTTGCAGCTCCTCCATGGCTTCCTTACAAGTGAAATACTAATTAATAATTATATCTTACACGAAATATACTCAATTAAGGCGAAATACAAAACAAACAAAAAAAAAAGAAGGTATAGACAGTACGTATAAATAATTAAATAAATTAGATGTGAGAGAAGATAGGATGAGGTTAATAGATAATAAATAGTGGGATGAGGGTGTGGGCGGGGGATTTGGTGTTTGATTTACGCGTGTGTAAGTGAGTTTGTGTGCTCTGTGTATAAATGTGTATGAGTTTTGGATCCGTCGCACTAATTTTACGTAATGATCACTCTTAACCTGAACATCTTTGGAACCTTGATACAACACCTACATTGATATTAAAAAAAGTAATAATTAACAACAACATTAAATCGGTCGGCGAAGGAGGATGGAATGTCAGTTGGCCACTTTCACGAATTCGGAGTTGTCGTATCCTCTAGCACTCATGAAGGTGCTCGCAGTTCCTTTGCGGTCGATGGCGCGCACTCGGACGAAGAGGAAGGCAGCCACCAAACTGGCGACGATGAGGACGAGCAGCAGCATAACAAGACCAGCGACGAAGCTGGGCACTGACATGCAAATGGTCTCCGGGTCGGAAGATGAAGCCGACTGGATGACAACAGTCTCGTTACTGGCTGCCGAGTTCAAGGCGAAGTTTACATCACCGGGAGCGACTACTTGGATGATCCTGCTGGTGTTGACATCGGTCATAGCTTGTGCTTCGCGCTTGTAGACACGACTAACAACAACGTTCATAACATCACGCCTCCTACGAACTCCTTGAAGTTCAGCTGGAAAGTTCTCTACAGATCTTGGTTTGCCACCTAAGGTAGCCAAGTTGCCTTCGAATTCGTCAGCGATGCCTGTTTTTCTAACAGTATTGTAAAGAGCGTGATGTCCTGGTAGTGGTGGTGGCGGAAGGTGGATGTCTCCTTGGATTTGCGGGGATGGGGATGATGGGTTTGGTGGGTTTGAGGTGGACGAGGATGAAGTTTGAGCTTGCGGGGCTGGAACGATGTCAGGGTTGTTCTCGGAATAGGCTCCGCTTGGTCCAGATGGATGTCTTGGGTCGGGGAAGGCAGCTGGCGCACCGTAATCGGGTAATGGTGGTGGTCCATATTCAGCATGTCCGGCACCAGCGAAATCAACGTTTCCTCCTAATTGTGGTGGTCCGTAGGCAGCTTCTAATCCATTGCCATATCCGCACTTCGGTTCTGGGCAGTTGTAACGGCAGACTTGGATGACACATTGGAAGTGGACGTTCATGGAGTCGGGGAATTTGAAAGCTTGGAAGTAAGCGAAGGAGACGACGGATGCAGATGGTCCAAAGTTCTTGATCTTCTGGAACTTGCTCATAATCTTCGGGCGGACTACGCAACCGAACTTGTCCACGAGTTGAATGGGAGCACGCTTGCCATCGTGAGCAACGCAGTTACGCACCAACATATCGAATTTGTTTTCGTCATCCTTGATAGCAAGCACCATGGTCATGGTTTGGCCGATTTTCACGATACCGGATACTTCAGATGCCCATGGTCCCTTGCCTACTTGGATCTGCATCCAGCATTGCAGGTTGTCGCCGAGGAAGTTAGCAGTGACGGCGTGCAGCATATCGACTTGGAATGGACGGAAGGCGACGGCCTTCTCGTAAAAGTCGTACCAAGTGCAACGCAGTTTCCTGGCTTGATCCCAGACCTCTTGCACGTAAGGATCGTACTGAATGATGATAGTGTTCTCGACGTAGGTGCCGCTCGGAGTTGGGCTTCCGTAGTTGCTGTTGTGGTTTGGCGAAGAGGACATGCCGCAGCTGTTGAGGAAGATCTCGAAGGTGGCGCTGAGGTGACCGGTTCCAGGTTTCAAATGTACACAGTGCGGATCGCTGTAGAAGCCCTTGGAGAAGATCATTCCATAGAAGGGACGGTCGAATTCGATGTTGACTCGCATATGGGTCTTCTCGCATTGCACTTGTAGATGCTTGATTTGTGGCATATCGGGGGTGGCTAACGGCCAAGGCTCGTCAGAATTCTGCGCCCCGCCGGCTCCTTGCAGCAGTGAAGGTGGAGCGTATCCACCAGGTCCAGATAGTGGAGGCCCATATACAGCGCGGTGCTCCAACGGTAATGATGCCGAATCGGAAACAGGAGCATCGCAGCTACTTTCCTGCAATGTTCGAATGTACGTAACAACATGCTGGTATGCGTGTATTAATTCGCGGTGTCACTCACCTGAAGCAGCAAGAGAGCTGTTAGCAGGCCGAAGATGATGAGCCGCGTGGTCATCGTCGCTGTCTGCTAGATCTGCAAAAAGAAGAACGAAGAAAAGAACAATGTGAAATTAAGTTTATGATGTGATATTGAACGGCGCGATTCGCGATTGATCCACCTTTCCGCACCTGACGAACTCTGACCCACTAACACACTCAACGCAAAGCCGTCCCGCATGAAGCAGCAGCAACAGCAACGACAGCAGCAATAGCAACAGCAGTAGCGGCGCATGCAACTCAATCAACAAGTCCTCTGGCTGTTCTTCGCCGAAGATCCGTACGCGCCTCCGCTGCTGCTTCACTCCCCCTAAACTAACAAGAAACTTCCACACTTGTCCCACTTTCACCCTTCGGCAGCCGTACAACAACATGTGTTACCTCACTCATGCAAGAATACAGTTATTCCCAAGCCGAGACGCTTTCTCCGGCCGTCCCGATCTATCGCCCTAATTAGTTTTTGTTAGGAATTCTCCAACTGGTTTCGTTCGGGCAGCAGCTCTTCTCGACGGACGGACGGACGGACCTTTTCAGAAGATCGAGTCTCTATCCACCGGTTACGCAACTGGTTCATCCGAAATGCGAACCCGAAACCAACCACCGGACAACAAACTACTCCCCCATTTGATCATCCAAACAGAAAATAACAATTAGCTTCCGAGCTGACGAGCCGGCGGTTCCGTTAGTTGCATTTTTTCGCTACTAGACCGAACGAGAAATGGTTATTTTCAACGGGTAATTACGGTGCAGTTTGCGTATTGGGTTTTTGACACACTAACTTGCTTTCCTTTCTCAATGCCCACTGTGTGCTCAATAACACATCTACACAGATCGCCCGTAGCCGGTGCTAAGATCAAGAGGAAGAAAGCCTTTCTTTTCAATGCCGCGTGCGCGCTTTGCCTTAACCACAGTGTACTTACTTGGCTTAGTCCAACAACGAGTCCGAAATAGACAAAACAACCACAACAAATCCCTCGAGCAGGTGCAATTTTCTTCACAGATTTTATAATCGTATCACCAGAAAATAAATAAATTTATCTATAATAGTATCCACTTGAAGGCACTTCGGTCACAGTCTCGATTTTATTATTCTGACTAACTTGCAATTAATCGTTGTACACTAATTGCAATTGTACAAAAAAAAAATAAAAATAAATAATTATATTAATCCTATCCCAAAGTCTACACACTAGTCCGTACTTTGAACCAAACGAAAAGTAATACAGCTTAAAATCTCGCGATGGTTTTATATACATGTGAAAGTTTTCCCCACTCTGTGCCACGCAAGAAGAAGACACGTGAGTGGAGGAAGAGAGTTTTACCATTTCGTAGCCCGGATCTAACCTTCGCTTTTGGTTTTGCCATTATGTTCACCATATACATTTTTTTTTTACTTCTTTCTTTTTTTATTTTTCTTTCTTTTTGTTGTCTTCCTCTTCATGATCTTGTTAGTGTGACGCACACGCAGTCACTTTCTTCCACCCGAAACTTGTGCAATCAACGTGAAAACTATCCACTGAGTCATCCCCGGATACAATTGAATTTCGCTTTTACTGATTATGCAATTTCATTATGCACATCATCCCTCATATGTTTTCTTACATCAGTACTAGTATTATTATTATTTTTTTCGTTTTCTGATTTTCACTTGTTCCAAGGGAAAATTGGATCAGTCGTGATGGGAAAAGCATTTGTGTGTTCTCCTGTTTATTGGCTTTGCTTCGGAAGGCCGATAAATCCCATTCCGGTAAGGCATTAAAGTTTTTTTTAATGATCGAAATGCGGTCTGCACATATCTCGACGCACAAGGATAGAGACACCCCTCTGCACACTTGCCCTTATCCCATTTATCCCATTATCCTCACTCACAAAGAGCCTCCGTCCATCGATCCGTGCATTACGTTGATTAACTCCCTTCGTCTTAAATTGTTTTTCATTAATTATCAATTTCAACGCAGGAAACTCCTAATACTCTGCATTGGCATTTCGTTTAAAACATCAAGGGAAATACGAGAACATTCTACCCGAAAAATTCAAATTAAAGAGATTTTCTTACAAAAAAAAACGCATTATTATTTTTCGGTACTTTTGATTTAATTTTTGTTTGATCATATTATTATTTTTTTTTCATTTCATTTATTAATGATACAAATTAAATCCTAATATTTATTCCACATTCAAGTTTTTTTTTAATAAATTATATAAATTATAAAAATGCCATATTTCTCTTACACAAATAATAATAACATTATTTAACGATATTTCCTTAATTTGTCCGGTTTCAAACAGTCAAGGATATTGGCGGAACCAATTACCCGCACTATATGAGGTATTTATGTTCATAAGTATTATTAGAAGTATACAGTTAAAAAAAAATCAAAAATATTTAACAACACTATGTTTGTAAATAAATTCAGATAAAAACAAGTTGTAACAGTAATTATGAAGTAATTATCATCAATTTTGAATTGTAGAACTATGAAAATATGTACATACGCAACCACCCGCCGCCCCTTCTCATGTTTCGCTATGTGCGGCTCCTTTAAACGTTTTACAATAAAAATACTTAAAATATGGCTCTTTGCTCCATTAAAGTTGCCGACCCCTGGCTTACAGCAACGATTTTACATCGAGTAATGTTTTTTCAAACAAGTAATAGTTATTGAAACTACAAAATAGAAAAATTTCAGTATTTAAGTCAATTTTAATTAATACTTTGCTTTAAAAATAATTAATTTTATTTATAATTTAAATACCAAACTTCCTTTTTAAAAACATTTTATCATTTGAGAAAGTGCTAACAAGAAACGTAAAGAGAAAAAAAAACTAATTGATCGATGAAAAAAAAATCAATGTAATTCGTGCTCATTTTAATAATATTCTAATGAAGTTTAGTGTTGTAACATTCCAGATGAATATTTTATTCACAAACTTTTGGAAGTGAATTCCGGACGCTTTCGTCTTAAAAATGCGAATAAATAAAATTGAAACTCAACAACCACAAAAAACAAGAATAACATTTAAAGAACACAAATAAAAGTAAAAGTTTGTATTAAAATGATTCGTGTTTATTTATTTATTTTTTCATCCTTTGTTCAATGTACCGTATTTTTTGGGACATAGATTGGAGCTGCGACATTCTATCGAGAAAATATATTGATTGGTTCCCAAGACAATCAAGGTCAGACAAATTCTTGAGATTAATTTGGTTTACTTCAGTTATTATATTTCATTGATGAGTTGAGTTTTGCACGAGTTTAGCAAGTTTTATGTGTTCTATTACAAATTTGATTGATAAGGACAAAAAATTGTTGTTTTATAAAAGTTAAGCAAGGTATCACACTTACAGCTAGTACTAACTTACTAGAAAACTAACTAAAACTAAAATATAAATAACACTAAAATCAAACTTCATAGTAAAAGTAAAATTTTGAATTTTATTTAATGCACAATTACTATTGTTAATTTTTAGTAATTTCATAACTCATGCATTTATTATATTTGAATTTTATTGAAATTGGGACTTAAGTATTATTGAGATTCAATAATTATAGTAAATATTATAACTAGAAATATTATTGAAATAATATAATAAGTAGAATAAGTAATTGAGATAATTATTATCGTAAAATATATTTCAATTGTGTTTGCATTTACATGTTTAGTAAAAGGAGTTTAAATAAGGTTAATTGAAAATTCTCATATAAATGTACGCTTTATTTTATAGATTATAAAATAACAATAATAATTGAACAAAGAAATTCGATATTTCAAGAAGAAATATGAAAACTCTAAGTACAAAGGAAAATTACGTAACGGTATTGAACAGAGGAAGACGTATTAACGTACGAATGATAATGGAAGCAAAAAAAAACTTTCAACAGATTCAAAGGACAATTGTTTTTTTTGCTTTGCCAACACTTTACTGCACAAATGGCGGTAAATTTAAATCTTGAGTTAATTTTGGGACACCCTTTATATATTTAAGTCAGTTGTCAGTTAAAGTATATATTACGAACACAAATTGCTGTACGCTAAGCGAACGTACATTAATTGAATTTCTATACAAACATGTACATTTATAATATTTTTTTAATTTTAACGTTCGCACGGACGTACTCAACGTTTGTACGAACATACACTTTATTGTCGGAATTTACAACGTAAATATTTCAATTTTATTAAATTAAATGATCTTAATGAATATTTCATTATTTTTTAAGATGTATTTTGGAAGACAACATTTGCTTTTAAACTAAAGAAGTCTTCATCCTCAATCGACATTCTTTATTTTTTCTTACTGTATTATTATTATTGTCTACAGCGCAATCCCGGGTGTTGCGAAATCCGTTGGGGATTAAGGATTCGATATTATTTGGAATGGAAATCTGCGTATTCAAATATGTTTCAGAAGAAACACTTTTGATTTTGTATCAATCAGTTCATCCCTTATTTATTCTTCTCTTTCTATCGCACGCTGTGTATTTTTTTATCTCCTTATTTCGGGAGGATAATCGTCCCGTCCTGTTCGTCGCCACCACCCTCCTCGAATGTCACAGGAGCTGTCGGCCGCAAGCCGTGCGCTTCCCACATTTCCCCAGGAAAACGAAACGAGTTTACGGCCGCTGTAATCCCGATGGGAAAATAGTTTCCAATAGCTCTAGAAATAGAGAGAATGAGAAAGATAGAGAGATACAGAGGGGTAAAAGGGGAACGTAAATTGAAGTGGTAAACAAATTGTTTTTCCTTACTCTTAACAATCCAAATAATCTTAAAGAAAATTTAACAAATTACTGTACGTTAAGCGAATGTATTTATATACAAATGCGAAATATTTATACTGTTTTTAATACCTATATATCTCATCGTTAGCATGAACGTACTTAATGTACTTTAGCTTCGAACCTTAACATATTTTTTTTACTATTTTTTTTATTGATATAAATTGAAGATCGATATATTAAAGAAAATTTAACAAATTATTTCTATACACAAAGCTCTTGAATCGGACA